TGGGGGGGGGGGGGGGGGGGGGGGGGGGGGGAAGGGGTGAGGCGTTGGGAGGGTGTGTGACTGCATTGGTATCGACTGACCGTATGGACTGACCGTTTCGTCGACTGTTTGGATTTTGCAAGGGATGTCTCCACCTGGCTGCCGTGGTGTCACGCTGGCGAGGTGGCCGGCCGGTGGACACATCTCGACTTCTTGGCTTATACGCCTGGCTGTCCGGATGTCTGATTGTGACGCACGGGGAGTGTGTGTGTGTGTGTGTGCCTGATAAACAGCAGTAAATATGACTCACCGAACACGCCAGCGAGAGAATGACTGACAGTATGCGTCAAATGGGAAAGGGCATTGGGCTCACTGTTTGTTCGGTGCCATGTGTGAGTGCGAGGGGGGGAGAGAGGAAGGAGAGATAGGGGTGGGAAAATTGTGCGTCTGTGACTGTAGGGTGCCTGCGTCCATTTGAAGGGGGAGGGTCGTGGGTGGCTGCGAATGAGTGTGTGGATGAGAGAGACGGTGATGTCGGTCGGTCAAAAGACAATCGAGCGGTTCTTAAAGGTTCAAGAAACAGTCCAAACCAGGCACTGAATCTCAAACTCAGAGTTTGCAGTCAATCGCTCTGCCTCCAGAGACAATCCCCCCTTTATCTCTGTGCAGCTGTGTGCCGATTCAGCCTTCCTGTCCTTTATATAATGCATCCAATCCAATCCACAGGGTAAATTGATCCATTGTGTCTGTCTTATCGTTTAGTCGCATTCACAAGGTCAGTCCCTCCCGCCCTCACTCAGAGGTTCGTTCAATCATCCCCACACACTGTGCACACAACAGCCCCGACCCCCGCCCCACAGTCTAATTACAGCCAGCGCCGTTGCAAACATGACAAACATGCAACCGAGCGGCAACGCGCTGTCGCTTCACTCACCCCATAAACCAAAACACACGACCAACCACCGAACCAACGACACAACAGGAAGAGCCCACACTGATCTGCACACCAACGCCTAGGCCCATCGACAGAGAGATGCATCATGTACACAACACGCCTACCTACCCCCGTCACGCCCCTGCTCCTTCTGCAGGATGGGGCATGGCATCAGACGGAGCCATCAGACGACGTCGACGTTGATCTTCATCACCGAATTGTTGAGGTAGCCTTTCGGGTTCCACCCCGGCGTCATGAGGGGCTGCACGCGGCCCTTCTCGTCAGTGGCTCGTGCGTATATCTCCCAGTAGCCTTTGCCCGGCAGCTCGATGTCCACTGTCCACACCTGCCAAGCGTACTTGTTGACGGGAGGGCTGAGGAAGGCAGCTGTCCAGGTCCGGCCCTGATCGACAGACACCTCCACCTGCAACGCACGCAGAGCTCGAGTGAGTGCAGTGCAACATGTGACTGACGGTGTCTTGTGATGTCTTGGTTGCTCGTGTGGCTGACCATGACGACATTGCCCATGCCGCTCCATGCCTTCCCGCGGACGGTGAGGCTGTCTCCGCTCTTGACCTGTGTGCAGGGGGGTGGGGAGGTGATGATTGAATAAACTGGCATCTCTTCGATCACGGACGTCTCCTCCTCTGTCAGCTAGCCGTCGACAAACGAGAACCGAGCATGTGAACACTTGTTTGGTCTCGTGTGCTGAGGCAGCGTACCCCTTCGTGGCCTGGCGGCAATGGTTGGAGAGGCATTCGGTAAGACGTCCCTGTCATCTTCGGGCCATCGTGAACCTGGTCTCGCACCTGACAGGACACACACAGGCAGAGGGCTCCTATATGGCCCTTGCCTGCCTCTCTGTCGGTCTGCTGCTCACCCATAGCCTCTTGAGCCATTTCCCCTGTGCCGACCCTGGGTAGCCAGGTGCAATCAACCGGAGAGGGAAGCCGTGCGCGGCCGGCAGCGTCTCGGCGTTCATCTCCCACGCTAGCATGGTGTAGCCGTCCAACGCCTTCTCAATCGGCACACCACGGGAGATGGCGAATGCGTCAGTATCTGATGAATGAACGGACACAGCAGGGAAGGAGAACGGAAAGAGAGATGAGGCGGCCTGATCTGAGTGGCGCGTCGCGGTTCACCTACCTACCTTCGCAATGCCTGTCCAGCCCCTCCCAGGCAAGGTACACGGCATTGTCCAGCACTTTCAGGCCCTTGAAGCCTTCGGGCGGGTCGTATGACAGGATGTCCTTGAGCAAAACACCCGTCCATTCGGCAAAACCCACTGCGCCAAGCGTCCACTGGTTGCCGCCCACTTGTGGACGGTATCCAGCCCGGCCGTGGCCGGCACACTGGAGTGGGTACTTGCGCGTGACGGTGGGGAAGCTCTTGAGCTGCTGCAGAGTGAAGTTCCTTGATCCATCCACACCGATACCATCAATCTGGGAAACAGAATGACCGAATGACCGAATGACCGACCGACACACGAGGCTGATGCGGCTGGTGGATGGTGATCTATCGTTTCTGCTGACCGTGAGTGTCCACCCCTCAGAGTCCTGGTCCATCGCGCGCCTTGGAATGTCACCATTGTTGCGCACAAAGAACTTGTCAATCGGTGTGAGTGCGTCGTCCAGCAGCCATGGAGGTGTTTCAATATTTGTAGGGCACGATGCCACGGGTGGCGCAGGCCGCAGTGACTCGTTCTGCGCACACACACACACACACACACGTGGGGCAGACACATCAAGTGAGTGACGCTGGTTTTCGCGCTGATTCATCCGTACCTTGCCAAGGCTTTTCAAGATCGTCAGTGAGAGGGCAGCGTCCTCGCCGAGGTTGCTCTCTGACGGACACTTGAGGTCAAGTGAAGCAGTGCTGCCGACAAATGCCGTCAGACCGAACGACTCGCACGTCTCCGAGGCACAAGTGGAAGAGCCACGCGAAGCACCTTCCCGCTCAGCCAACCGCTCAGTCGTCTCATCCGCGCTGTGCTTGTCACTCAACTGCTGCACACAAGACGCAGAGGAGGTGCAGATCTGGCGATGGTTGCGCCAGGCAGTGATGGTACCTGACTGTTTGATGACCGAAGCAAGGACAGGAGGGAGATGACACACACGACCGTGACGGACAAGGTATGCTGCACCAACAGTCCCATCGATTTGTGTTCTTCTGCGGTGAGGGAGCACTCCGTGAAAGTTTACGTGTGGCGCGGGACTGTTTCTACTCCCTTTCCGTCCCCGTGCATCCCCAGTCCCAACCAGGCAACCACTCTGCAGTCACAAGTTGGCATGCCTCGACTGATGCTACGCCCTTCCTGTCTGTCTGACATGTCGATGGATGACTGTCCATGGCCCCGGGATCGTCAGGGACAAGCAAGGCAGCAGGCCTCCGACAAGGAGGGCGGCACAGCACAGCGGAGAGGCAGCAGTGTAATGGTGTGACGTGACGGCATCCCAACCACGTAAAAGCAGCCAGCCAGCCATGATCGACATCACTTTGCACACAGACAGACAGGCAGACAGACGGTCCGCATCGCATGCACGGGCCCGATGTCGGCGCCTGCATCGCTGGTGTCCTATTCCGTGACTGTTGCGGTCAGTCGAACGAACAGTCAGGGGAATACGACGCCAGCAACGCAGGCACACACAGTCGACGAGACCACGCACACAGGCAGCACACAGACAAAGCAGTCGGCAAACAGGATCTGTAGCTATGACATCACACACATCAGACAGACAGTCGTGTTGGACACGTAAAGAGAGAGCGCTGTACGTTACGTTACGAGCAGAGAGGCACCACTTGGCGTGTTAGAATGACATGAATGACTGACACTGGAGCCAAGAATAGGCACAGCGCCGAATATGGATGGATGCGTGGATGCATAATGGTGGCGTGGTGTTGGTGTGTGAGGTTTTGAGAAAGCAGCAGATAGAGGTACTGTACTCTCGACTCGACTCATCGGCCAGTAGATAGACCAGACCAGTCAGTGACGCAGTGAGTGCTGTCTCTCTCGTCTTCCTGTCTGCATCGTTCTGTGGCCGTGTCTGTCTGTGGCCGCCTCCCTCCCTCCCTCCCTCCCTCCCTCACAATCACACGCCACGCACACAGGAAAGAGACTCGACACGAAGGCACACGAACGGAAGAGAGATAGAGTGCGGTGCGGTCATACTGATACGGCGATGGATGGATGGACAGCCACCCGGACCCAGTCGGTCATCCATGCGCAGCCAGCCCCCGGCCCCCCCGCCATGCAGCCCGTCGCCCTCCCTCCCCCCCCTCCCCCCTTCAAATCGGTGCCTGCCTGCCTGGCCTGACCTCTGTATTTATGTATAGATCGGATAGATGGGTGCTTGTGTTATGTATAAGTAAGGGGTCGATCTTTCTTCCTGTCTTGGCAGGCTGGTCATTCCCTCTCCGCTGATGGATCAATGAATGATCGACAGACAGACACCGAGCCTCCCATAAAGCTACTTGCTCACCCCACACATCACACTCACCAAGACACACAAACAGCCACCCACCCAGCAACCATACACACAGCCACGCACGCCACACAGACAGCTCAGGCCATCCTCATTCGATCAGGTGCCCCACGTATGTAGGTATGTAATGCGCACAGCTCATGAGCGGTGCACTCACTCTCGCACGCACAGCAGCCAGCCAGGCCAGGGCAGGGCAGGGCAGGGCAGCGCAGCGCAACCAGCAGTCAAAACAGACCGGTCGAACAACACGTCATAGACCCGAAAACTCTCTCGCCCCTCTGTGTGTGTCGGTTGCCATGTATGGTGAGCATTCGAATTAAAGAAAACACCTCTCTTCCTCTCCCCTCCCCTCCCCTCTTCTCTCCCCTCTCTCTTGTCTTCTCTTGTCACCTCACCTGATGTGTGTATGTCGTGTGCGCACGTATGAAAGGAGGGGCACACACAACACAACACAAACACAGTCGCCCCGTCCCGCCCCGCCCCGCAGGCCCATCCCTCTCATCATCCAGAGTCGCACGTCACGTATGCACGCACATACGCAAAACTGCCACATGCACATGCATATCCGTGTCTCGGCTGAACTGATTTGATTCAGTGCCATTCTTCTCACTCAGTTTTTCATCAGCGTAGCTCTTATCGACATCGACAAGACGACAGACAGACAGGCAAACAGACAGACAGAGAGACAGACAGACAGACAGACAGACAGAGATGGGAGAGGGGGGCGGGATGTGATGGACCGGACCAAGAACACACAGATGGATGGAGGGGCGAGAGAGAGATTGTGGGGTGGGTGGGGGGGAGACTCACTCATCATCTCTATGGCTGGTATGGCATTGTATTTATTGTATGTATGATACAGACAGATGTACAAGCGAGGCGACAAGGAGAGAAGGAGACAGACAGACACCACACGAATGAATGAATGGAGAAATAGATAGCTTGGTTGGCCCACAACTGACATGCACACCCGGAGAGACAGACAGACAGACGGCTGGCCAGAGCATCGTGTACCTACCAAGACAGCATCCCTCAGAAACAGGCCCCCGCAATCAGTCAGCCAACCCATCATCAACGGGGCCAAAATGAAAATGCTCCCCAGTTGGATCACCCTTCAGGCGTTACGTTACATATTCTTCCATCCCTCAGCAGCAGCACCACCACCAGCACCACACCAGCAGCAGCAGCAGCAGCGAAAAACAATCTTGCAGCCACGTCATGGTCATCCGTCCTTGCCCCTCCTCTCTCAGTCAAGACAGCCATCCAGTCAGCCAGCCAGTCAGCCAGCCACACAGAAGCAGTGCGTGTGTGCGTGTACACCCCAACACAAACAAGACAGACACCATGACGCAAGAAAGCGGCCCGGAGAGAACACATCATCGCAGTCAGTCGTATGTTTGTATGCCCCTCCAAAACACCCTTCCTTCCTCGTCTACACAGACACGAGTACACACACACCCACACACACACACACACACGCCCATACACACGAGTACAAGCAATCAGCCGGTCAATCAATCGATCAGTCAATGATATTGCGACACGCCCGATTGCGCACGGCGTGGGAAAAAGGGAGGAGGGGAGGAAAGGGAGGGGAGGGGACAAGGAAGAGGCACGTGACCCCATGCATGTACAAATGCTGATCGATCGATCGATCAATCAATCACTCGCTGGCTGACTGGCTGCCTCCAGCCCCTCCCTCTTTCTCTCTTTCCTCTCCCTCCTCCCGTCGATCGACTTATCGGTGGGTGAATCTCATCTATGTATGCATCGTGTGTGTGCACACACACACACACACACATTCACACATTCGTACCAGAACTGAGCGGCAAGCACTCTCCCCAGAGGCCGGCCCTGACGTCATCTTCACCATCTCTCCACCGTCTCCTCTGTCTTCTTGTTGGTCTGACCTAGCCAGCTTTCTTCGTGTCAGTCACCATGGATCGATTTCGCAGGTCAGTCGGTACACACACACACCACGCAGAACACGCCGGATACATGAGATGCACAGCTTGCCACAGCAGGCAGGCAGGCAGGCAGCTCACACGGGCAGCGGGTAATCCCATGTCGATTCAGACTCAACACGTACACACATACGTACACACACACATTACAGCCCGACGCATACATACGTAGAAAGCAAAACAGCAAAAAATGCAGCCGACGAAAAGAGAGCCGAGCCTCCAAAAGCAACTGCAAACGGGCAAACAAACAAACGGGCGGGCGGGCGGGCAGGCTGCTCAGCTCACGCGTACTCGTATCGATATGAACCCATCACATCAGCACAGCACAGCACGGCAAAGCACACTCGTGCGCGATACCATCATGACGCCGGTTTGAGCCACTTGTCGAGGATCGCCCGCATTTCTGCCCGCGGGAACCGCACGGGACTCACCGGCCGAGGCGGATGCGAGAATGACAGGACCTGCTGCGGCGGCGGCTGCTGCTGCTGCTGCTGGCTGCCCAAAGCCTCTACTACTGGCGGTCCTGGTGCTGCCTCGGCAGCAACAGCACCAGGTGGCGACATCTCGCTGCTGCCGGAGCCCTGGCGGGACATGGATGAGACCACCCGCGAGCGGCCCTCGCCGCTGCTGCCACCCGTGGCCGCCCGGTCCACCGCCCCCTTCTTTAAAACTTGCAGCAGATTCTGGCCCGCGTCCGCCGACGCACGACGGGACACACCCGATGCACCGCCGTCGGACTCAACGCCGCCACTCTGAGACTGCACGAGGGAATGGGATGACGACTGCAGGGGGAGAGGGGGGACGGGAGGGGCGCCCGACTTTCCTTGCTGGCTCTGCTGCCGGTGGTGCTGGCGGATGATGTCGAGGATGGTTGAAGATCCGCTGCCCTTGGTGGTGCTCTCTGGTGGGGGTGAGGGGATGGTGGTGGTGTGTGAGGTGGAGCTGAATGGCAGGGGGTCCGGTGCACGGCCCCCAGCGCCCCCTCCGACTAGACTGAGCAGATGGCTGCCGCTCGCAGAGTTGCCGTTGGTAGACGGGCTGCCGGCAACAGCCGCTGGAATGTCCGAGGCCAGACGGTCACGACCACGCCGCATCTCAACACTGATTGAGTGAGCAAGACAGACACACATACACACACCTGTTGCTTTAGGCTCTGTGTGCGTGTCATTGGCTGCTGACCGACCTGTCAGTTCGTGTGGAGGGCTTGTTGCCTTCACTGTCGCCCGACACGACCCGCCCGACGCTGATGCGATCCCGCGAGACGCCTATCTGGCTCAGCAAACTGGTCAAGCCCGCACCTCCTTTGCCAACAGCTGATGCCCCAACCACACCAGAGGGCTCGCCGAGGGGCCCCAACACAGGGGACGGCTTAGGCGTCGCTGTCGAGCCACCCCTCACACCAACACCATTGGCCTGCCCCTGGCCGCCCTTGTCCTTCTTGCCCTTGCCGCCCCGCCCCGCAACGTCCGGCCGCGGCAATATCGTGATGCCGTCGAGGACAGTGGGGTCGTTGCCGTCGGCCCTGGATGCCGAGACATGTGCCTGTGTCTGCTGGGCCCTGCCGGCTCTCGCCTTGGCCTTGGCGCCCGCCCTGTTGAAGCGCGTCTTGCCTGGCCTGGTGGACTCGATGATCCCAAAAATCTCCTGACGCCGCCCCGACAGCCCCTTGACGATCGCCATGTCATCGAATCCCTTGAACGACCCCTGGCTCGTCAGCCGACTCGGCGGCTCCCGATCAGCAAGCTCCCGGTCCTTGTCCCTCCCAGGCTTTTTGCTGCGGCCGTCCTTGTCCTTCTTGCTCTCCTTGGGCGAAGCGCCGCCGGCCTTGCCCGCCCCCCAGGCGGACTGTCGGCGGCCCGGCACGGGTAGAATCACAGGGCCCTCACTGTCCGATGCTGCTGGCTGGCCGCCCCGAAGGTCGGCCAGCGCACTGAGAAGATTGTCCTCATCCCCGTTGCGCCCCCGTGACGGCGGCCGGTCGCCGCCACTGCCTATGAACAACTCGGCGCCAGCAGCTGAGCCGTTGAGGGCGTTCCGAATGCGCGGCTTAGCCGTGTGAGGGTTGACGGGGCTGCCGATGTCTTCGTGATCGTCGTTGCCCCATCCCCTGCTTTCGATGCGGGAGATGGGAATGGCGTTGGGGGGCGGGGGAGGGGGGGCCGCCAATGAGTCCTCGTAGTAGGACGTAAAGTCGTCGTCGAGACTCCGCAGCGTCCCGCCGGAACGCTTGGTGGAGTTCTCTAGCATCCACATGATGCGATTGATGTGCTCCGACTGGTGAGGGGGCGACGGGCGAGAGGATGACGAGGAGGAGGGTGCTGCAACGCCGTTCTCCATCGGCCGGGAAGGGCTTGGGCCTGATGCCCCGTCAGTGTGTTGTTGCTGGGGTTGTGGGCTGCGGTGGTGCGTCGGTGCGTCGAATGGTTTCTGAAGAGTGGCAAGGATCTCCTTCATGGTGGTCTGCTTGATGGGCCGCCTGGATGCGGCCCGCTCCTGCTGGCTCAGGCTCAGCGCCCGCCGCCGCCGCTCCACCCAATCACGCAGGTCACGGGTGAACTCCTTGACCGCCCAGAAACGCTGCTTCACCGACCTGATGGATATGATACGGTCGGTGAGAACAGAGCGCCTTGGTTGTTGGGTTCGCGTGTCAGTGAGTTAGTGGTGTGCTTTTGGCTGCGTACCCAGACTGGAACACGTTCCAGTTCGGCAAGTCCTTGAGCTGGATCCACCGTATCTTGCCGATCTCCTTGCGACACTTGGGCTCGAACTTGGTGTCCTCCGCAACACCTGCACACACACACGTGTGCGCACCACGGTGACGCTCATGCTTTGTCCGTTCTGTTAGCCCACCAGGTATGATGTAGAGGCGGACACTCTGGCCATCTATGAGCCTCTCTATGTATTGCTGACACACACGGCCAGAGCAAAGAGGCGGGCTTGGTCTCGAGTGTGTGTTCTGTCTGCTCGTGGCGTGGCTTACATCTGGGTTGATGAGGTGTGATGTTCTGATGCCGATTTCCTCCTCGACCTCCCGCTCGGCGCAGTCGTGGTCCCGCTCGCCCTCGATCATCTTGCCACGCGGCCACATCCAGTCAGACCCCTTGTAACCTTGCACTGCACAACGACATCACAAGACACACACACACAGATCTCCTTCTCCTCCTGTGCGCATGTTGCTCTGTGTGTGTGTGTGTGACACACATACCCATGACGGTTTTGTCCATGTTGTCGTTGAGGAGGATGCCTCCCCGCACCGGCACCAGCCGCACGTACCGCCGCCACTCGTCATGCAGCAGCTCCACCTCCTTCTGCGTCTTGTATATCGACTTGAGGGCCTGACGGACGCACAGACAGACAGACAGATAGACAGACAGACAAGACAACAAACCAGTCGTTCACCAGACACCCAACATCGATTCATATGAATGAAGATGACCTTGGTGGTGGCTGCCTACCAGAGATTGTTCGACTAGTTCCTTGCCGAAGGCCACCATGGAGAGGCGTGGCAGCTCGGGGTACTTGTCGCACCACATGTCCTTGTACCACCAATACGCCTCCTGTAAGTAAGGTGATGGACAACATAACATCATCAGACCACACACGTGGGACCGACATCCCATCCCATCGCTCTCACACACACGATGCCATGCCATCCCGGCGCACCACCGACCCACCTGGAAGGTGAACATCATGCTCATCCTCTTCTCCAGCTCCTCACGGGGCAGACAGTTGATGAACCGACTGACGCGCACACACCACACACATCACACACACATTGAATAAATGAGTGAATGACACAGAGCGTCAGAGACATCGCCGCTCCCCGCCAGAGTGCCTGCCTGCTGGCTTACACGGCGCAGTCTTGAATGGCGACGGCCTTGCTGGGTGTCTGCTCCTCGTCGACCTCATCGCTGTCGTCCTCCCCCTCCCTCCCCTCTCCCTGCTGGTCCTGCTGCTGCTGTACCGCCAGCGGCATGCCGTGAGCCGTCAAACACTCTCACTCTCACACACTCAGACACGCCGACACACAGCAGGCGATGCTGCGATCAGTCGAAACGGGCTGCCTGGCCTGAAGCCGCGTCAAACAGAGCTCCGGAAGCTGCCGGCTGGTGGCGGATAGGCGCCTCTAGAGCCGTGTGAACAAATATGATTGCTTGTCGAAGTACGGTAGAAGAGTACTCGAGTCTCGCTGAGTCAAGGCCTCCCGTGTTGTCGGCTTGTTGCTCCCTCCACACGGGGGGAGACGAGCCGATGATCAGCGCCGGGAAACCTCCGCGTCAGGTGTTTGTGATGCCGGTCACCGAGTTACTGAGGCGCACGTTGAAACAGGCTGTTTGGCTGCTTTGCCATCCCTTCAACAGCTCGCAAGCTAGGATCGCCTTTCGTTTTCGGCGGAAAAGTCCTGCGGCCTCATCTTTCGCTTGCAGCCAGCTTCACGTGAGCCGCAGGACTTGCAATAGAGGCAGAGAATGGTTTCTCGCTTGGATCTGTCATCTATCGCTTTATGCAGTCGTCGAGTTCCAGCAGCAGGTGCGATGCTGCCATGCCTGACGGGCGAGGAGCTCTGTCAGACAGCGGCAGCCCTTCACCGTTCTCACCATCCGTCCTGCCTGACGACCAATACGGCGGCTCAGTGAGCAATTCATCCCGCACACTGTCAATCAACGCACACGACGCGGCAGGCAGATTGCCTCTCTCATTCCCTCCCTGCTCTTTGTGGGTAGTTTGTCGTCGTTGACCACACGCTGGATATCAGCTGGGTCAGGCCCCCGCCGGGCAGTCCACCTGCAGTGCACCAGCACCATGCCCGGCAGCGGATGGAACTGCCGCCCCTTCCCACCCAACACAGGACCGAGCGGCACGCCTCACTGACCTACTCTGACCCCGGCGGCAGCCATGAGGTCGACACGGCCGACGTGTCTGCGCCAGCACGGGCCGCATCGGTCCCGCTCTTCACAGCGGACGAGCAGGAGAGGAGAGACCCCGGAGGTGCCAGGCGCCAGGCGGACCCGACTGCGGAGCCAACGGATGACGACCTAGCGCAGAAAAAGCTCTTCATCGGTAGGAGAAGGCGCACATCTTGATGTGGGAGTAGTGAGTCATTTCGGCGTTCTTCTTCCGTTGCTGGTCCCTCCCGAAGGTCACATTCCGAGCGGCATCCGCAACCGCGATCTGATGGGTGTGTGTCGTCGGTACGGCACTGTCGACTCCCTCTTCTACATGCACGACGAACACGGAGGCGAGAGAGGTGAGGGAGGTGTGGACCACACCACACGACACGAACACGAGCGAGGCTCACAGCACAGACAGAAGTAGGCAGACAGACAGAGGTCTCTTGGCTTGGTGTGAAGCTTTGTGTGCTTTGTGTGGTGTGGTGTGGTGTGGTGTCCGTCCGCAGGGTGGGCGTTTGTGGAGTACAGACACGCCGACGAGGCCCACGCCGCCATCACAAACCTGGACGGCAGACAGACATTCAGAGGTCAGCCTACCGTCGCGACTCATGAAGTCAGAACCACGCGGTTGTTGCTCACGGGTCCTCACTCGTGTGTGTGTGCAGGCGCCTCCCAGCCAGTCGAGGTCCGTTATGCGCAGTCCATCCGTCGCGCCCAGTTCGTCCCGACCGTCTCGGAAGGCGAGGCGGAGCAGCCATTGACGCAGCCCGCAGACGAGCCCACAGGGCAGGCAGGTGGCCGTCAGCAGCAGATGCTCGTCTTAGAAGAGCAGGAGGCAGGTTAGTCCAGTCCACAACAGGAATGAATGGCCAGCAGTGAGTGACACCCCACTTATTGATAGTGATGTATGTATATATGTGATGTCCGTGTGTTGGTGTGTCGATGCAGAGGAGGCGTCGCCGTCCTACCCAGTGGTGTACCCGCCCCCTCCCTACGGCAGCGACGTCCCCTCCGAGCTCCTGGGGCAGCCATCCGCCCCCGAGGGGCGGCCCCCCCTCTGGATCAGATACGAAACATCAGAAGGTACACACACAGCCCAGAGAGAGAGAGAGCACCTAGACGGAAGAGATGCATGTATCTTGTGCCTCCGTTCGTTCGTTTCAGGTGTGCCGTATTACTTCAACACCCTGTCTCGCATGTCCCAGTGGGACCGGCCGGCGGACTTTGACGCGCAGAGCCCACCTTACGTCACGGGCGACGACAGCACCAGCGACCGGCCGCCGAGCGTTGGGTCGTCTGAGGCGGAACTACCGATGGGGGCGCATGGGCCGCTGGGCGCCAACCTCTTCGTCTTCCACCTGCCAAACGAATGGCGCGACTACGACCTCTTCACGGTGGGAATTGCGTCCACACCATGCATCGCTGTGTGTGTCGTCGGCTGATTGCGTGTTCGTCTGTTTGTCTGTTTGTCTGTTTGTCTGTCTGTCAGCATTTCAAGTCATTCGGTCGCGTGATCTCTGCGCGTGTGCAGACTGACAAAGACTCAGGGCGCAGCAGAGGATACGGGTGGGCACCAGTACCCACAGCTCCACCCTGGCAACAACATTAATTGCGGCCCTGGATTCACTCTGTGCTTTGTCGGTCCTCTCTTCCCACCCCTGTCCGACAGGTTTGTGTGTTATGACCATCCTGACGGTGCGCGTGCGGCCATCAAGACCATGAACGGCTTCAGCGTCGGCGGCAAGAGACTCAAGGTCACCGTCAAGAAGGGAGAGGAGCAGTACCTAAACGCGGCCGTGGAGGCCGGCACCACACCTGCGTCCCTCTCCCCATCCGCCAGCCAGGCACAGGCCCAAGCAACACCGCCACCGAGCTACGAGGGGGGCGGCACGCAGCAACCCTTCCCCCACCCCCCACCTGCGGCTGAGCAGAGTGCGCCCTTCTTCCCGCCGTATCCACTGATGGAGGGCGGCTACGTTGGGCCTTCGCCTCAAGCCCTTCCACCGCATCCTTTCACCCAACACCAGCAGCAGCATCAACACCAGCACCAGCAGCACCAGGCGGCCCCCCTGCAAACGGGCACCCCCCAACAACACTATCAACGCCATCAGCAGCAGCAGCAGCAGCAGCACTATGGGCATGGGCAGCCTTATGGCCAGCACTACGGCCAGCACTATGGGCAGTATTTTGGGCAGCACTGAACCCGCATATTCATGTCTGTGATGGGTGCGGTGCGTGAGTTGGTGGTAACATAACAGCGTGCTGTGAGTAATGGATGGATGGATGGATGGTGAGTCAGGCGAGCAGATTGGTCCTGCCCTGCCTGTGATGTGAGGGCGTTCATCCCCTTCGAGCATGTGATGTGCGCATGGTTTGTTTGGGTGATTGATACAGGACGACATGACAGTCAGCCAATTTGTTCACGTGTCGTGTTCCATAGATGCATCCAACTGACCACTTTTTGACGGACGGGCGGACGGCCGGTCAGTCGGTCGGTCGGTCGGTCGGTCACCCGTCTGGGTCACACGAATGGACGTGACGTCGTTGCATGTGGAGTGATTTCATACCTAGTGCCTGCCAAGTATATGGATGCATCGACCCATTGATCCTTCCCACATACGTACGTACGCACCGAGAATCGCTGTTTTCGATTCCGGCCGGCCGGGTGATGGGGCCTTCGTGTCGTGAATGGCTCTGCGGACCTTGCATACATACGTCGACATACCCAGGTTTCGAGGACACAGGCATACAGACGTGTTTTGGTTTATTGCGGTGCTTCTGTGAGGGGCTTCTGGAGAGATAAGCACGTATTGTAACGGACGGGACGTCAGTATGGCTCGGTATGACATAGTCCAAGGCACAGCAACTGTTGCTGGCACTGTAGGCTGTTTGCGCCTTGCCTGTCTATCGCACTTGTTTCCCTCCTTGCCCTGCTCTTCTCTCTTGTTCTGTCTGCTGTCATCTGGTCTCATGTTCTGTCTTCTGGTGGTCGTCCATCTCGGGCACACGAGCAGCGCACCCGAAGAGGCTGCACTACCGATGTGCCTGACATGCCGCATCTCCAGGAAGCAGAGCCGAACAAGACGACACGACGTCGATGCATGCCTCCTCAGCTCTCTGTGTCTGTTCTTGTGCCTCTCCTTGCTGTGCGTGGAGGTGGTCATGGAGTGCAGGCAGCCACTGTGCTCCTATGACTACTCCACACTGGCTCACTGACTCGTCGAGAGGGCGATAGCTTCACGATGGAAGCAGTCACTTGGCCTGCAGGTCTTTCGTCTCGCTCTCCACTAAAATTGCCATCTCGAAGTCAGTCGAGGTGATGCCATTGACCGTGTGGGTGTAGAACTCCATGACAGCATAGCCCCACCCAAAGTGCAGCTCTGGATGATGGTTTCTGCCCTCCGCCACCTCGCTGACTTTGTCGATGAATGCCTTGGCCCTCGCGAATGAGTCCTTCTTCTTCTTGGGCCAGTCATAGCGCCGGGAGAGGCGCCCCTCAGCACTGATCTGCCAGCCTTCCAGACCGCTGAGCTTTTCCTGGATCTCCGCCTCAGATAACACCTGGCCGCTGCATGCCATCCGCACACCTCTTTGCTCTGTCGTCGGGGAATCTGGGAGGGTGCGAGCTAGTAGTAAGCCGGATCGAGATTGTCTCGCCTGCGCTTCGAAGTTCGCTTATTTCCCTTCGAAAGCGTTCCGCCTCATCAGAGGAAGCGTCTTTGCAGAGACCGCGACGTTCTATTGCCGACCCCCACCCCACCCCCTTCTGCTTATCGCCATGTCGAAGCTGTCGAAGCTTTCGTCGACTTACGACACCCAGCTGCACCCCCGCCCCTTCATCCCCGCCCCTGGCAAGACCACCGGACCGCAGCAGCGCCACAGCCAGGCCCGCAAACCCGCGAAAGACGGGAAGAATCCCTCTGGGCGCCGCGCTGAGGACACGGCAGTGGGGGTGAAGGAGGTGGCTCGGGACAGCACGAGAGTGCCCACCGTGGAAACGGGCAACAGCACTCCCGTCGATGTCACCGCGCCGCCGACCGTCCCCCCGCTGCTCGAAGTTCCTGTTGACAACCATGGCGCCATGCATGCGGCTCTGCAGCATTCGTTCGTGTCGCCGCCGCCATCGCAGTATCCTCTTGTGCCGCTGCCGGTTGCCGTCATCGGTGACCCCTGGCTGATGTCCTCATATCCGCCTTTCTCAGCCCCTCGCACCCGCCTGCATTCCGAGACCGTCGGAAAGCTGATATCGTTTGAGGACATTCCCACAGGGCACCTCATCCCTGTGTATATGTTCTTCGGCACTTCTGTGGCTTTGGCCGAGGCCAAGTGGGTGGCTGATTTGGCGGCCATGGGGCTCAAGGCGAGGATGATGGGCGGAAAGGTGGACGAGGAGACGGGAGAGACCGTGACGGGCGGATATTGGGTGGAGACCATCCAGTGACACGACACGATAACGACACGAGGACACAGACCCAAAGGAGAGTGTGTGCGGGAATGGTGTGTGTGAGAGTGGTTTGGTATGCGGCTGGGTGGATGGGTGGTGTGTGGTGGGTGTGAGAGAGCTAATGATAAGGAGGGGGATGTGACACGTACGTGAACATCCGCCCTGTCTCTCTCGGTGTGGTGGATGGCGATGGGGGGGATGGATGGATGGGTGTGATCGAGGCTTTCAACGAATGCGTGCAGTGCAGTTTCTGCAGTGATGTGCTGTGTGCATCACACAGGTCGCTCTTTTCAGATTTGCTCTCTTGCTCTCATGCCTGGCTGCAGTGGGTGGGGCTACTTTCTGCATGTGGGTACGTATGTGTGCAATTGAGTGTTCTTCCTTCCTTCCTATCGATCTGTGTGCGTACGTGTATCACGGGCCGTGAGCTGCCTATTTTTCCCTTTCTGCTTTGGCGAGATCGAGGAGGACAGACAGATGGATGGATGGATGGACACATCGATGTGACAAATGGATGGGTATGGTGGATGGTGAGCCTCTTTTGCGTGCAGACGGACAGACAGAACCCTTCACTTTCACATCAATGTACAATAGAAAACCAAACAGATTGAGCGATGTGTGGACAAGTCTGAGATTCTCCTCATACATGCAATGCATCAGTCACAAACACACACGGACGATTTGGGGTCTTGCACTGCTTGTCGCACACATGCAGCACTGATGAATGTGTGCACTTGCGATCGTCAGACAGGCGGCCACGCTCTTCTGTGTGTGTGTGTAGATGGGCGCTCACCGTTCTCCGAACCAGTCGTCTTCGTCTGCGGCCGTGCTGCTCTGGTGGTGCTTGGCAGGGGCGGCCTTGGGCTGCTGCTGCTGCTGCTGTTTGGTGGGCGGCTTGATCGGCACACTCGATGCCTTGCGGCCGATGTTGAACCCGAGCGCCTTCAACCCACACACACAGACACAGACAGAGATGACATGAAAACATGCCACCACGTCCATGAGTGTCGCATTGGTGTCTCCATACCTTTGGTTTCTGCCGCGGCTCGGCTGGTTTGGTGGCTGGCTTGGCAGGTGGCTTGGCGACGGGAGTGGGCTCTTTCCGTGCCTGATATCATGACACGACAACAGCAAGCCGATTCATCCACTCACCCTCCTACCCACCCACTGTGTGTGTGTGTGTGTGGTAGACTGACTGACCTGCAGGAGTGCTTTGAGTTTGGCGTTGCCTCGACTGGGTGCGGACGAGGCGATCGACTGGGGGCTGATGTTGGGCTGTTTGGCGTTGGGGTTGGGGGGGTTGGCGGCCGGAGTGGGAGCAGGTGGCTTGCGGTTGCCGTGTGATCGGTGGCGCTTGAGTCTCTGCGAGATGACGCTCATGGCGGCGGGGCTCTCCTCATCGGCATCGTCGCCCTTCTGTGCCTCGTCGCGCACACTCGCCCCCCGCACACCTGCATACATCCACACGAAACGACACACATGGATGACTGGCCAGCCAGCCATCTCTTGCTAGTCTACCTGCCCCCTGCTGCTGTTTCTGGATGAGGGACGCATTGGACGCGTTGTCCTGGTTGAGCTGTGACTTGCCCAGCCTCAGCACACCCCTGACAGGCTGAAGCGCCACGCCGCTCCCGGCCCCCTGCTGCACCGATTGTGGATCGAGGAGTGTGCGGCCGCCCCTGCTGCTGGGAGCGCTCCTGACCGACCCAGCCACAGATGCGGCGGGTGCACCCTGAGAGCCTGGGCGGCCGATGGGAGCAGGGAGGGCGGGCGAGTCGTCGGGGCTGAGGTCGGCTGCTGCTGGCTGGGTGTTGAACGCATTGCCCTCGAGCTCACGCTTCTGCATGGAGCAAGCACAAAAGTCGGGCGATCGTGAGACTGGCAAATCATCTGTTTGTGTGTGCACGCGCTGACCTGTTTCTGTAGCTGTTCTTTCTTGTGATGCAGTTTGCGAATGGCCTCCTCTAGCTCATTGCGGGCGGACAGGTGCAGCTGACAAATGGGTTCATGCCACACACACACATATCCACACAGCCACACATTCACATAACCAGTCGTTGGTTGTGTGCCGGTCATCCTTCTACCTGTTCGAGTCGCTGTTGGAACTCTTGTTCCATCTCCTCGAGCTCCCTCTTATCACGCGCACGCCTCTCACTTTACACACACCAACGACATGTGTGGATGTGGATGCACGCAGACGGATGAGAGGGACGAGATTGTCCGTCGTGTGTGACATACCTCATGTCGCGTTCGCGCTGCTGCTTGGTCCGCTTGGCGAGTGCCTCAGCACGCACGGCCACGTTGTCAGGCATCAACGCGCTCCGCAGATCCTCCAAACCCATCCTGCACACACACACACACACACACACACGGACGCATAGAGTCTACCACAGATGTCCTCTCGTCCCCCTCTGTCCCTGCCACTGACATGATCTGTTCGTCTATCTGTGCTTTGCTCTCCTTGTGTCTCTCCTCGACCCGCTTCTCGCCGTCCTCGAGCTCACGCACGGCAGCCTCTCGCTCCTCGTATCGGCGCAGCAGGTCTCGCTTGGCCGCCTCCTGCTGCGCCGCCTTGGCCTTGAGAGACGACAGATGGCGAGCGACGGCCTCACTCTCAGAACGCTGCCTGCAGACATGCAACAGTACACCCACATAAATGTGTTGCGTGAGCGTGGATACTCCCTCTTACTTGTGGTATGCTGCTTTGGCTTCTTTGAGCTTCGTCTCACGCTCGACCAAACACTTGCGCACCCCATCCAAATCTGCATCAGTCAGCAACCCACAAGGCCCTCCCTCGTTGCTGTGTTTGTGGGCCTGTGGGTACCTTGATTTAGTTTCTGCATGTGTGTCTGCCCCTCCTCGTATGACGACAGTAGCTGCTCAAGCCGCTTCTTCTTGGCCTCGACCTGACCTATGATGTCTCCACCAGCATCTGCACATCCACGCAAGGCAGACGCCCTCACAGGCCCTTCTCTGGCTATTTGTTTTGCGTGTGTTTGCACCTGTTTCCTTTTGGTTGAGCTCGTCCAGCTGCTTCGTCGCCTCCTGCAGGCGCTGGCGGGCGGCGTCGGCCTTCGCACGGGCCGCATCGGTCTTGCGCTGCTGCTGCAGATGAGAGAATGGATATGGCCTGGGTGGGGTGTGTGGGGAATCTGAGGAGGCAGCTGACCGATTCGAGCGTCTTTGTGAGCTCTTCCCCTTTCTTGTCCTCCTCTGCCAGCAGCTGCGGAAAGGTCTCATTGGCACGCTCCTGCTCCGACGCAACCTGACACACACACAAATGACATGAGGACAGCATCCCTCCCTCCCTCTCCCCCTCCCTCCCTCTCCCGTTCTGTCGTGTGATGCCTGTACCTTCGCCTTGGCCTCGTCGAGTTGCTTGAGATGGTCCGTCTTGTCCGCCTCGAGCTGCTTGAGATGCGCACGGGCAGCGTCGTGAGCCTAACAAGTAGACACGCACATCCATCCATCTACAGATGCATTCGTGTGGCTGTGGGTGTCTCTGCCTGACCTCTTTTGCAGTCTGGCAGTTCTTTCGTTCCTGGTCGATTTGATTTTTGAGTATGAGTATCCGTGACTTGGCGTCGAGTACTTGGCCCTCGATCTTCTGCGTCTGCTCAGATGTCTTCTTGGTCTTGGCGTCCATGTCCTTGAGCTGCTGCTGCTTGGCCTCGATGGACTCACGCACCACACGGATCGACTCGAGCATTGCCGCCTTGCTCTCCTCCTGACACCATACACACACACACACATACACACAGACGGATGACACACAGACGACATGCAGGGAATGAGGATTTGTGACATTACCCGACCCGTTCTTTGAGCTTCTTTTCCTTCTGCACACGAACCTTCTCAATGCCATCTGATGGTACAAGAGAAGAGCAGTGCGTCAGGTGTTTTTCTTTTGTGTGTAGGTGGTCTCGTTGCCTTCACCTTTGAGGCGTTTGTGTTTGTCGGCCATCTGTGCCAGGCTGGTTCTCGCCTTGGCAGTCATCTCGGTGATGCGTTCGTCCTCCTGCTTGAGTTGGTCGATCTGCTGCTGCAGCTGTCGGGTGGCCTCGTCGACGGCAGCGGTGCCTTTGTCGACCTCGGCCTTCTTCTCTCGAGTCATGCGTGTGTCGGCCTGGACCCCACACGACTCCAAGTGGTGGGCGCGCAGGTCCTCGAGCGTCATCATCTGACAAACCCACCACCATCACACCACACACCACACACATGGACCACCATCGATGTGTTGTGGTGTCGTGGGTGTGTGGGTCACCTTGTGTTCGTGGAGTTGCATGTTGGTGGCGAGTTGGCGCGTGAGTGTGTCCTGCAGCTTGTTGTGCTTGCGACGCAGATGATCCAAACAACCCTCTGCACACCACACCACACCACACCAACGACACATGAAACAACACACACCACACCACACAGATGTCTCTCTCCCCTTTGTCATTGATTGATTGTAGCTCACCTCGCTCAATGGCTCGTTTCGTCACGGACTCCATGAGCACCGCGAGCGTCTCCCTCTGCTGCGATAGCACGGCGAACAGACCCTTGGACTCGCTGATCTGCTGAGCCACCGCCGACGCACTCTCCAAGATCTGACCCAGACGCGCCTGCAGTGAGTGAGTGATGCATCCACAAACAGCCAAACACATGCATTAGGCATGTTTGCGTGTTGTTTGCGGTGGTTTGTGGTGACCTCTGAGCTTTGGATTCTCTGGGATATGAACTCATTCGTCTGTGCGCCGCGCTGCTTGAGGAGCTGCAGATCTTCTATGGCCTTCTTGCTCTCCTTGACCAACGCCTGCACCTTATCTAACACACACAGAGAATGACAAACGATGGATGGATGGATGGATGGATGGGTGGATCCGTGCTTGATCTCTCCTTCCTTCACCGTGCGCTTTGCCCTCCTCGTTGAGCTGGCGCAGGAAGCGGTCGGTGTCAGACTTCAGCAGCACCGGCCCGTGAGCGCCCTGGCCCAGCGCCGCCAGCTGCGACATCGCCGAATGAATGGATGAATCAACGAACGAAAGAACCGAAACGAATCAACACACGCCCTTCAGCGGCAGCGCATTTTTGTTTCAAGGCGAACTTTACACTTTAAGCTCGCAGTGTCCCTGCTTCTTTGTGTTGGCTTACAGTTGGCTGCTGAGATGAATGACTATTGGCTTCAAGACTTCAACCGGGCGAAAGCTCTCACCCGCGACATCGCTCTGGAGATCAAGAAACGGGACAATGCGGCATCGGGAAGCAGCGGCCGCGGCAAGGTGAGGATGGTGTACTGTAGATGGTACCTATATCACAAACATCAGTGTTCATTCACCTCGGCAACGTGCGTGTTTGTGTGTTTTGATTCATCGTGCAGCATACAGCCATCGTCCGAGGGCAAATAGCTCAGCTGGCCCAAGAGATCTCTCACCTCGAGCAGGCCGTGTCGACATCCGCAGCCAACCCGCCCGCATACAACATGTGAGAGGTCTGCGTCGCTGACTGTCCCTTCTCACCCTCTTGGGTGCGTGTCTGTGTGCGTGTGTGATTAGCACAACCAAGGAGCTGACTCGTCGGCGTGACAAGGTGGCGAAGCTGCAGCAGGAACGGGAGCAGCTGGAGGAAACATTCAGGGAGGGATTCAGGTGACCACTCACCCACACATCCATCCATCTATCCATCTGTCCACACACGTGCCTAAGGCTGCTCACGTGCATTGCATCGCTGCAGGAGTGGGTTGACCGAGCCTCTGAGTCACGGGTCGACCGCCACATCCGCCTCCACACGCTTGCGGCACACTGAGGATGAGCTCCACAACATGTCAGACCAGGACATCATGATGCTACAGGAGAAATCCATACACGGTACGCACACAACACAACACAACACCACGCCACATAACAGACGCAGTGTGGTGTGTGTGTGCAGAGCAGGACGCAGCGCTTGAGTTTTTAGAGGGGAGTGTACATAACCTGAAGAGCATAGGGGGAAACATCAACCAGGAGATCAACCTGCATGTCAGACTAATCGGCGATATCGATGCTGATGTACGCATCAACACGCCCTCTCTCAGACGCACCGTGATCTATGTGTGTGTGTGTGTGTGTGTGTGTCATCCGCCACCAGGCCGAGCGCACAAGGCATCAACTCAAGCAGAACCAGACGTTGCTAGGTGGGCAGTGAAACGGTGGCAGTGTGCAGCACTTGATGGACGTGTGTGTGTGTGTGTGTGCAGTTCGCGTGCTGCAGCGGTCGTCATATACGTGCCTATACGCCCTCATTCTGGTCAGCCTGACCACACGCCCAGAGGGAAATCGCCGACACACCTGTCTGTGTGGCCGTGCGCACGTGTCTGCAGATCCTTTCTGTGACGCTGATCGTGCTGCTGATCGTCCTGTGATGCGCCGAGGACATTATGTAGAGGGGCAACTTTTCTGGTGCGTGTCGTATCGCTGACAGATCACAAACGCACTCATGACTGTCGAGTGCCTGACAATGAGTGCACATACGCGTGGGTGGGTGAGTAAACCATGACGGTGACGCGACTCTCCGCGGCTGTGAGTTTGTGAGTGTTTGATCCCCGAGCGGTTCGATAAAGGAGGATTAAATACACACATACATACATACACGCACACACAGACAGACAGAGAAAGTAAGTGACATGCATGAATCCATCGCAGCGCATCGCATCGCATGGCATAGGCATAGCCCACACAGGGAGGGCAGGTGAGTCTCGCATACCACCAGTCACACATGCGGCCACACGCAGACGGACAGACAGGTGGATCTCAGAGACAGGAGGGAGGGAGGGAGGGAGGGAAGAGGGAGATATGGAGACACAGGCAGCCAGGCACCTGACACACTAGCATTAAATTAGGCCCCGCCCTCTCACACACACAGCACCTGCCTGTCTGAGTGCCCTTTTGGTGACCAAGAAGGGTGTGTGGAAGCGCGTGGAGGGGCGTGGCGGGATTGTGTTGTCTGTCTGTCCGTTTGTCGCATCACGAGTCGACTAGGTAGGCGGTCCATCAGTGATGGCCGCGCGTACAAATATAACAGCAGCACTCCTTTTCTTATTCACAGCCAGCCGCAAAACGGCGCACCTCACCCTCACCCATCGCCTCGCCCTCGATTCGTAGGTGTGGAAGGGCGGAAACGGATGCGACTTAAGCCCGCCCGCGCTGCCTGCCTCTGCCTCCCCCCATGTGGACGTGACGTGTATGGATGACCTGTACGCGTGAGGGAGGGAGAGGGAAGGAGCTAGGCAGACCGACAGGTAGGCAGGCAGGCAGGTGGCTCTTGACTTGAAAGACTAGGTAGGTAGGTAGGTAGGTCGGTCGGCAGGGCTGTCACAGAGAGTGACGGTGTGTGTGTACGTATGTGCGTATGTGTGTAAGAATCATCGTCATGGGATGGCTAGGCATCGGTCAGTGAGTCAGTCAGGCACCCATCTCGAAACATGACAAGAATGGATAGACAAGACAGACAGGGGAGATAGAGTAGGCAGGCAGGCAGGTAGAGTCTTCGCACCGGACCACAGCGTGGGACCAGGCGCAACAAAACGATGATACACCGACCTGACCACACACACATACGCACACACACAGATACTGAGCCAACAAGCAGCCCACCCGCCCCTGTTGCGGCCCTGCCCTCTCACCGTATGAGGATGTGTGTCAGACGAGTGACGTCCGTATCATCTGTGCGAAATGGTACAGGTTGCGCGTGAAGTGGTCCTTGGTCTTGGTCGACAGATTCGCCTCCGTCCCCGACAGCAGGTCGGAAAAATACCCCTCCAGCTTGCTCCGCTTCGTCTGCCCCTCACCGTCCTGCCCGTCGACCATCCCCTCCCCCCCACCCGCACCACCCCCAGCACCGCCACTTGCCCCCCTCGCCCCGGCCCCGCTCCCGCCAGGGCCCGAGAGCATCGTGTGTGTGTGCACGAGCCCTTCCTTGAGTGTGGCGTACTTCTGGGGCTGCAGCAGGATGAGCCCCAGGAGCGGGCGGCTCATGGACCATGTCGATGTGAACTCGCCGCTGAAGACGAGGTCGAAGAGCAGCGACATGAGCCGCTGCAGCAGGAGGGGCACCGTGCGGACGCCGGGCGGGGGCGGGTTGGGGTCGGCCAGACCGCCCTCGGGCGGGTAGAGGAACCGCAGCACACGCTGCACCTCCTCCTCGGTCTCCTCGGCGGGGATGGGCGGCGGGAGGTTGAGCTGGAAGAGCTCCAGTGCGGTGCGGCCGGGGTCGCCTGTGGCTGATGTGTGGTTGGGGGTGGGGACGGGTGACGGCATCTGGCCGCGCTGCTTCTGGCGCGTCCGGTTGTTCTGGTGGTGCTTCTGCAGAGTGGTGTAGAGGTAGGTCACGATGTTGTCGAGGGTGGCGCAGCACTGCATGGCCACGCCGGCCTCGAAGGAGCACAGGCCCTCCTCGATCGACGCCAACACGCGGCACAGCCCGTTGGCCGGGAGGACGGGCACCAGGGTGGCCCCGCCCTGCTCCTTGCTCGGCACGTTCGCGGACGTCGACTGCACCACCTCGCAGAGCTCGAGCATCTTGGGCATGTGGTTGCGGGTGGCGAACTCCAGGAACAGGTAGTAGGGCTTGAGCGTCTTGAGGTACGCCGACAGGTCCTCGGCAGACAGGGAGATGCCCAGCTGCAGCGCGATGGCGAAGGCGTCGTGCAGCGAGGTGTCCTGGTAGACCTCGAAGACGCCGAAGTTGGTGTAGTTGCCCTGGAGGGCGTGGGAGAACATCTCGAGTGCGATGCCGATGCCCTTGAACCGGATCCGGTACAGCTGCCCGCTCGACACGCCCGGCCCCACACTCGACCAGTCGCGCGTCACCATCCGCTGGCCGTAGGTGCAGAGCACGTTGGCCACCTGCTTGAAGAGTAGGATGCCCGAGGGGCTGGTCGGCTCGAAGGCGATGCGGTTGGCCTTGTTGTGCACAAACTCGGACATGAACTTGAGGAGGGGGATGACGACGTCGGGGTCGTCCCACCACACGTCGATGGCCGCCGCAAAGAGGCCCAGCCGGGACATCTGCGGCTGCTTGGGCTTCTCGACCAGCCAGCTGAACAGCAGGTTGTAGGGGTCGGCATTCATGCAGGCCAGACACAGGCCACGCAGGTCTCTGCACAGCCCGATCAGGGGCATCTTGCACTGGGGGGCGCGGAGCTGGGTGGGCGCCAGGGGCAGCTGTGGGGGCGCCCACATGGAGGCGACGACGTCTGAGAGGGGCTGCATGAACTCCTCGAAGGGCTCCTTGTTGTCCTTGACCTCCATGAACAGCAGCTTGCCCAGGGTGTGGTAGTACATGGTGCGGTACTTGCCGTACGACGGCACCTGCAGGAAGGTGAACTGCGTGTGGTTGTGCCGCTGCAAGATCGACTGCACGGTCTCGTTCTTGAGCAGAAGCCGCCCCGACACGATCAGCAGGGGGGAGCCGTAGATGGGCCCGGCGCGCTCCCCCGGGCCGCCCCCGGTCGTGTGGACGATGTTGATGCCGGCGGCGAGCTCGTAGAAGAGCTGGAGGGACTTCTTGATGACCTGCTCGAGGTGCACCCTCTGCTGGAAGTTGCGGCCGATCTTGTTGATGAGCAAACCCAGTACGGCGTCGTCGTCCTTCAAACCCAGCACCGTGCACAGACGCTCTGTCACCTCAGCCTGACACAGAGACACAGAGGGACCGACATGATGAGTGTCCATCAGCGCGGCCCAAGCACCGCACCGCTGTGCTGTGTGGCGTGTTGCGTGCACCCACCTGGAAGATTTGTTTGGCGTGCATTCCGAAGTAGACCTTTCGGAACTGCTCGAGGAAGTAGAGGTAGGCGAGCTCGAGGTCCTCGGGGGCCGACGACTGGCTGTCGGTCAAATTGATGAGCTGAAACACCCGGGACGACAGCTCCCCCGTGATGACGTGTGGGGGCACGGCGGGGGCGGCGGGCTGGTCGATGCGGTCGCTGTTGCCGCCGCTCGCCACGGGTGTCTTCATGTTGGCTGTGCCGGCGATGAAGGCGGCGATCATGTAGACGAGCCAGGTGACCTTCTTCTCGAAGACCACCTGGCTCAGCTGGCCCGCCTGGCCCTGTGTGGTGACCTGCTCGAAGAACTTCATGAGCACCTGGGCGGTCTCCTGCGGCTTGCAGCGTCCGAGTGAGGCGAGGACCTCGAGCTGCTCGCTGCGCATGACCTCGTCGGTGAGGGGGTCCTCCCACAGGACGGACGAGTCGGACGAGAAGGCCTCGGCCATCAGCAAACGCGACTGGATGTACGCACACGTTATCTGCAGATAGAGGGCGGGCGGGGGGGAGACAGACAGAACCAACCGAGACACACACATGGATGGATGGATGGAGGGAGGGAGGGAGGGAGGGGTGGGTGGAGGGAGGGAGAGAGAGCGGACGCACCTGTTGGATGTATCCTTCGAGTGCCTTGGGCGCCTTGTCCTTGGCATTTGCGAAGAGGAGTGGGTTGACCATCTGGGACCAGAACTGCAGGAGGTAGTGTTTGCTGTTGGGCATGTGCTGCCAGCTCTGCAGGCTCTCGATGGTGAACTGGTACACCTGGTCGATCCACTGCTGGAAGGCGTCCGCTGCGCACAGCTCCGTCAGCTGGTGGGCGGTGTTGATCTTGCCCAGCAGCCGGCACAGCTCGTGGTAGTTGCTGCCGTCGTCGAGCCCCACCTTGTTGCTCAGGATCTGGGTGCAGCCCATGATAAGGCTGCTCAGCAGCTTGGCGCGGTCCTCCTCCTTGTGGAAGAATGACCGCCTCAGCGAGGAGAGCAGCACGAGGCACTGGAGGCAGATGACGCTGCAGTCGTAGTGCTTGTCCTGGCAGGTCCGCTGGTAGAGGGAGAGGAAGAGCGTCGGGATGGAGTCGTCACGCAGCATCGACCACCCGTGCGGCACCATGACGGTCTGCTGGTCGTCGGAGGTCTCGTCGGGGATCGTGCCCATGAAGTCGAAGCTCAGGCAGGAGCAGCACAGCGACAGCACCTGCCGCAGCAGCCGTCTCTCCTGCGTCTGCTCGGGGATCTGCAGCTGCCGGGCGTGCATCTTGTGCAGGGTCGACAGGGCCACCGTGAAGATGCTCGGCAGCGCCGTGTCGCGGAAGGACAGCGCGGTGCGTCTGAAGCGCGACATGCTGGGCCCGAGCTGCGGCTGCATGTCGGTCGTCAGCTCGCAGTAGATCTCCAGCCCGATGACCCAGTGCACCGTCGACGCCTGCAGGAACTGCCCGACGTGCTCGGTGATGGTCTGGTGCTGCGGCCCCTCCAGCCACGCCAGCTTGACGATCCGGCACACCAGCCGAATCACCTGCGTCAGGGCCTGGGGCGCGCTCCGCAGCACGTCCGGCCCCTTCTGCGCCAAAAAGTTGAGGAGGAAGGACCGCAGCTCCTCCTTCTGCGTGTCGCCGATCTGTGCCCAGAACTGGGTGATGATCTTGAGGGCGGCCGTGGCTGCGAAGACGAGGGCGTGTGGCTGGTTTGAGGTGCCGATGAGGTTCTGCAGCCGGGGTAGCTGGCTGGCGTCCTGTGTGAGGGGGATGAGGATGGTGTGCGCCTGGGAGCGCTCCTGCTCGCTTGTCGCGTTGTACAGAGAGTTACACAAAGTCTGCCCGGCACACCGCCACACACACCACCAACATCCATGGCGTGCGTGTTTGCGGTGGTTGGCCGTGTGGCAGCTGGCGTACCTCCATCTGAGAGAGTTCAGACGGGTCCATCGTGGCGATACTCTCCATACAACACACGCACGGCACCGCACCACCGACAACAACCAGGGAGAGAGGGGGAGAGGGGCAGGGAGGGGAGCTGCAAGCGGGGAGGGGTCCTCTAGACTTCTTAAAACTTGGCTTTCGTGGTCTCTCAGGGAGGCAACGCAGGCACGCACGCTCCCGACACACACCTGCACGCATCAGACAGACAGAGCGACAGATGACGTCAGCCAACATGCGTTTGCGCGAGTGTGTCTACATGCACCCTATGTCTGCGTCTGCACCTGCCAACACGGCGATTCGACGAGCCGAGAGGCCGGGCAACTACCAGATGACCACTACCAGATGGCAAGAGCCTCTCGGCGAGTCTCGCCTTCGAGATCTCAGTTGCTTCGCCACGTGACTCGCTCTCGCCGCGTGTGATTGCGCGGCCACACAGCAATCACGTCACCTCCTTCTTCGCGTCACTTTCCCTCTTGCACATTTAAGCTCGCAAGCTCGCACGCGCGGATCTCTCCCGTCCGCCATCTCCCATCTTTTTCCCGATATCAGGGGTCTTCTATCGCCTTGAGCACCTCCTTTGAGCCATTTGCTTTCCACTTTGGCACGCCACCCTCCCTCTGAGACGGACGCTGACCGTGACAGCAGATGGCCGACCGCCTGTCGACGTCCAACAGCAACGGCTTCTTCGACGCCCAAGACGACGTTCTCGACGGTGAGCGGCGGTGGCGGGTGGAGCGAGGCCGAGAAAGAGGCGAATTCCTACTGCCCCGTGACAAGTGCATGTGTGCATTGTGGTTGCATTGTGGTGCCAGATCCCCCGTCGCCCGTCGACCTGAGGCCCCCCTCCATGGCGTCGTCGCCCGACATCGCCGCCCAAGGCCGTTTGCCGCCCGGGCGAGACGACCCGGAGAGAATCCCTGTCGAGGCCATTATGGACATACGTGTGCAGGACCAGATAGAAGACGATGCCGCTCTCGCCAGGGACCTCGACGCCGCTTTGGCGGCAGAGGCAACAGACCAACAGCAACAGCCGGCCAGCTCGGCCAGCCACAACTACTACTACAACCGGCGCAACAACGACAACTGGAGCGAATCGGATGGGTGGGGTCCTCTGCCGACGGGAGGAGGGGGAGGAGGGGGAGGGGCGACAGCCAGCAGCCGTCCACACGCCCACCCCGCGCCATCACGAGCATCCCCACTCGGTGGAGGCGACATCGACGACGACGTCGACTGGCACGTGCCGACCCATGTGCGGCCAGGCCCTGCTCCTGCGGCTGCCGCATCCGCTGCTGCGTCGGGAGGCGGTGGTGGAGGGTGGACGTCGGGTGGCGCGAGCAGGCCCAGCGTGAGCGGGCAGCAGCATCTACTGGGTTGGGTGCCACCGGGTCGTCCGGAGATGCACGGTCCCTCTCAGGTGTGCGCATGGGCGGTGTGGTTCATCTGTGTGGGGTACGTGTGTTGTGGCGCTTGTGCGGTGTGTGTGTGCAGGGTGGGGGAGGTGGGGGCGGTCGTGATCGGCGTGAGCGTGGTGGTGCCTTCATGTCAGACCTCGACCCAGTCACGGTGAGACGGGGAGGGGAAGGGGTGTGACGTGTGGTGTGGTGTGTTGTGATGTGTGGTGTGTGTCAGGCGTTCCCCGAGAGTGAGGTGCAGGCCAACCAGCAGAAGTGGAGAACCGCCCACAAGAGAAACGACTTCTACCGAGTGACACACACACGTGCCGCACTCACTCACCCACAGGACACACATCCATCTGTCTGTCTGTCTGTATGCGTGTGGGCCTGTGTGTGTGATGTGTACAGGAGCATCCCGAGGTGAGGGACATGACTCAGCAAGAGGCCCAAGAGATGCGCAAACAAAAGTGAGGCGCATACCAGCACAGCACAGCACAACACATCACATAAACCAGCCGCGCCACTGGCCACTGGCGCGTGTGTGGTGTGTGTTAGGAACATCAAGGTGCTGTATTGCGTTGGGCGCGATCTTCCGAAGCCGGTGCTCACCTTCATGCAGGCGGGATTCAACCGTACGGAAGAACCACACAGGACACGACACACCAAGCATACCCATGCACACACGCTCAGCTCATGGATGGATGGAGGTGTGTCCTTCCCGCGTGTGTGCCTGTCGTCCGTGTGTGTGTGTGTGTGTGCAGAGACCATCACTGACGAGATCCAGAAGCGCAACTTCATCGAGCCCACACCCATACAGGTGCGGTGCGTATGTGTAGGCGAATCCCATCAACACACACCACGCCACGCCACGCCACACGCATACACACGTCCCTCTGTGTGGGTCTTCGTGTGTGAGTGTCATGCATGCGTCATTCACAGGTTCAATCGTGGCCCGTGGCTCTCTCCGGCCGCGACATGGTGGGGGTCGCCCAGACAGGCAGCGGAAAGGTACGCACAGCACAGCACATACCTCACATCACACCAACGTCCGTCAGCACCAACACACACGCCACGTCACGGCACGGCACTGCACGGCACACGCCCCCTATAAGTTTATGTGTGTGGGTATCCATCCATCCACGTGTGCTGCAGACGTTGGCGTATCTGTTGCCCTGCATCGCCCACTGCATCGCCCAACCGCGGCTCGCCACCGGAGACGGACCCATCGCACTCATACTGGCACCCACACAGTACAGACAGACACAGCGAAGGAAGGAAGGACACACAGACATCACATCCACCCCACATGAGGTCAGGATTGTTCGCAAGGACACCCCCCCTGTTTGTGTCTTGTCTGTGGGTACCATGTCTGTCTGTCTGTCAGGGAGCTGGCCCGCCAGATTGCACAAGAGGCCAGGGTGAATGGAATGAGGCACACACGCTCACACACAGGGCATCTATCCATCTCTCCCCATATGTGTGTGTGTGCGTCGGTGGCTTGCGTTGCGCACACACAGGCGTTTGTGTATGGCGGCATGCGGGTCATCGAGTGCATCGGGGGCGAGCGGACGGCGCAGGCTCAGCTCACGCGGGGCGGGGAGATCTGCGTGGCCACTCTGGGCAAGCTCTGCGACATGATCAAACGCGTAATATACCACACCAACCGCCTACCGACACCGACACAAACACAAACAAGAGGGGCGCGTGTGACCACGTGGTGAGCTCATACCATTCTCTCTTTGTTTCTCTGTCTTTCTGTGTGTGTAGGGGAACTTCCGTGCGAATCGGCTGACGTATATGGTGCTGGATGAGGCTGACCGGCTAGTGGACTATGACGACTCCTTCCACACTCAACTCAAATTCGTAACTAACACACCCACACCCGCACCCGCATTCGCCCGTCCGTCATTGCTCATGGCTCGTTCATGCAGATCCTGGCCGGCTTCCGCGACGACCGCCAGATGATCATGGTCACCGCCACCTGGCCCGAGAAGGTATGTAGGTTAGGAGCCTAAACACCCCACCCACATGTGTGTCTGTATCTGTGGCGCCATCCGCTCCACTCGACTCCACACCACACGCAGGTGCAGCGCATCGCCCGTTCCTTCTGCGTCACTGAGCCCGTGCTCATCTACTGCGGTTAGGATGGATTGAGGGAGGGAGGGAGGAGGGAGGGAGGGAGGTGTGCACGACACCACACAGCACAACCGACCTCATGTGTGCGGACGACTATGTGTGTGTGTGTGTGTGTGCATGTGTGTGCAGATGCGACGGACTTGAAGGCGCCTGGGAATATCACTCAACACGTCATGCTATGCGACGTAAGTCGGCACGGCACATATATGGGTTTTTTTGTGGATTCATGTGTGTTGTTTGTTGCTGTGTCTGTCTATAGTCTGAGAGGAAGGACTCGATACTGACAGGCATACTCGAGGACCTCCACCGAAAGTACCACCAGCCAAAGATCATCATATTCGCCAACACACAGAGACGTACGCACCACACCGAACCTATGCCGCTAATGCACTTCACGCAAGGGCAGGGCAGGGGCAGGGCAGTGCAGCCAGTACCACCCCACCTGCCCACCAATGTGTGTGTGTGTGTGTCAGGGTGCGACATTCTGTGTGAGCGAGTCAAGGCTGCAGGATACGACGCGATGTCCTCCCACTCCGGCAAGACGTCAGAGGGCCGGCAGTACGTCATGGACCAATTCAGACACGACAGAACCAAAATACTCATCGGTAAGGAAGTAAGGACACTCACTACTCAGTGAATGCAATGCATGTGACGTGACACCAAACACACACACACTGTGCGTGTGGTCTTGTGTTGGTGTGGGTGTGGGTGTGGGTGTGGTGTGGGGGGTTGGGGGTCAGCCCCTGGCGTGGCGAGTCGTGGTTTGGACATCCAGGGCGTCACGGCCGTCATCCTCTACGACATGCCAAACCACATCGACGAGTGAGTATCTGATCTGCACAGCACACACCGCACAGACCGCACTGCACGCCCTCTGAGTGAGTGTCGGCATGCATGTAATGTGTGTTTAATTGTCAGATACATTCACCGTATCGGCCGCACTGGCCGTGCCGGCAACCGAGGCATTTCCTACGCCCTGTTCGACAGCTGGGATTACTCAAGACGCGATGACACCAACCAACTCGCCAAAGACCTCAGAACGGTCCGTCCATCCGTCCATCCATCCAGCCATCCATCTGCACACACAAAAACACCTGTTGTATGTGTGTGGATGTGTGTGGGTGGATGCATGTGTGTGTAGGTGCTGGAGAACAGCAATCAGCCTGTGCCGAGTTTGCTGACCGAGTGCATCGCCAAGGAGGGCAACATCGACTGGAAGGCACTGCCCCTGCCCTTCTCGTCAGCAAACGACACACACACACACACACCTCTCTACCTGTGCCCTCTTTGGCCATATATCCACCTGTATGTATTATGCTTGTGTGTTGTGTGTGTTGGGTGTGGCTGCAGTGGTCAGCCGCTGATGGAGATAGAGGATGCGCAGCGACACCTGGGGGTCGGCAGATTCGGGCAACTACCCACTCACGTGAGCGACGGAGGGAGGGAGGGAGGGAGGCCACACCATCCATCCCTTCATCCCTCCCTCCATCATGGTCAGGGCTCGGTCAACAAGACGTTCACCATGAGATCCAAGGTGAGCCATGGACCGTCACGCAGCGTGATTGGCTTCCCTCCTCCCTCTATGTGGGGTTTGGTCTATGTGCAGCACGATCGTGCGTCGTACGTGGGTCAGGGCGGTGCCACCATTAAGACCATACAGGGCCACACAGGAGGTAGGTACATGCCTCAGCCAGCCAGCCCCCACACCATCACACCACCATTCGCTGCCGGCTGGTGTGTGTCAACCAGCCAAGATTAGCATCCCCGCTGAGGGAAGCGATGACCTGGAGATCACTGTCACCGGTAGGCACACCCACTAGCATGACATACACAAGCTGTCCGGCGACTTTGGTGGATGTTTTGTTTTGTGTGTGTGGTTGTGGTGATGTGTGTGTGCTATGTAGGTGCACCTCAGGCGGTCGAACGTGCCATCCACCATCTGAAGCGCATTCGAGAGGGCGACCGACTGCCTATCGCCATCAACAACAGCACCAACACGCGCCAAGACACACAGACACGGATACAGACACAGCAGCAGCAGCGGCAAGACAACAGTGCCGGTACGCCACTTGACCTCACGTATGTCTGTCTGCAACAGCCGTGACGGTTTGTGTGTTGATGCAGGTGTGTCTGCCGGCCCGCCCCGCGGTTTCGGCCGCGGTATATTCGCCAACAGCAACGCCCGAGAGAGACTGCCCGTCGACACCATGGGTACTGCACACAACATACACACATGCACCCACCGACACGTGCCTGTGTGTGGTTGCTCAGGTCTTCAGCAGCAGCAGCAGCAGCAGCAGGGGGAGAATCAGGGCGGCATGGCCAGGGAGGACGAGCGGCAGCGTGAGTTGGAGGCACTGCGTAAGCTGCACGACGAGGACCAGCAGAGGATCGCGCGTGTCGAGGCCGAGAAGAGAGAGCTGCAGGAGAAACTCGCGCGCCGTGGGGCCTCTCGCGAACGAGACGACGATCGCGCCAGAGATGGTGCGCAGACGGGGGGGCGAAAGGCACGAGTGCATCATCCGTGGCCTGTTTATTGCGTCTGCTGTCACCTGTTTGTTGCGTCTGCTGTGTGTGTCGTGGTGCATGTCTGCAGAGGTGGCTCGCGGCTTGAACTCAGGTCGTCCGTCGATCCCCTTGATGGGCCGAGAGAGCGAGATCCTGTCCCCGTCGGGCAGTCCCAGCCCACGCAACATCAACCGCATCCCAGACCCCACTGGCCCTGGCCCTGCTGACTACCCACACGGCTACAACGACGGAGGCCGTGGCAACTACAGCCACAACTACAGCTACAACCAATGCCGAGACCGAGACCGAGACCGTGACGACCGATCGTCGGGTGTGCGTGGTGGTGGGCCGTTCGAAGGGTCATCCCACCGGTACGGCTTCATGGAGAGGCGCGACGACCCCGAGGACGACGGCAGCCTCGTAGTGCCGGCACGCACACGCGGCCGACGACGTAAGCAAGCTGAGGTGCATGGCATGGGGGAATGCAGCAAAAGCAATGGATGGATGGATGTGTCCTGTCCGTCCTGCTCGGGGGCTCGGCTGTCTGTATGTTATGGGTGTGCAGGTGGCGATCGTGTGGAGCGCATGAGTCGGTTGGGCGAGGAGGAGGATGACCACTACGGATACAGAGGGGGGCAGGAGGAAGACCGCTCTCAATACAGCCGCTACAACAAACGTGACAATGACGGTATGCGAGAGGAGGGAGGGAGGGAGGGAGGCTGCGACAAGGAAGGACTGAGAAACCCATAAGTGACCGACGGATGTGTGTGTTCCTGCCTGGCAGATGGTGACATGGGTCGCCCTCGTGGCCGCCAGCTCGCCAACGACGACCGTGACGAAGACTCTAGCGGCACATACACCAGGGCGCCCGCACGGGGCAGGGGCCGACACGTAAGTACGCACGCACTCGAACACACAGAAGGCATATGCCGTCGCGTTCACGGTGTGTGGCATGTTTGGTGCGTTCATTTGCTGCATTCATTCAGCCCCGTGATGAGGATGACGGATACGACAGTCACTATGACCGCCCCCGGCGCCGATACGACTGACGGGTGGGTACACAGACACACACACACACAGGGGGGCAAGTGGCTATGGTTCTGTGTGTGTGATGTCATGGATGCAGCGCTGACCGGCCGCAAGACTGACATACAGTATGGGTTTGGGCTTTTTGGTGAGGGCGGCTGCATTGCAATGGGATGACTTAGCGGGCGGGATGAGAGAGGAGAGAGGGCAAAAGGGATCCTTGTGGCTGTGTGTGTGGGCTGTGTGGGCTCTCTGCTGTGGCGACCGAGACCTGACACACTCTGGGCTCGGCAAGCTTCATTCACACACATACATACACACATACACACATCGATTCATATTTGTACAGCCGGCCGGCCTCTCGACAGACAGACAGGCAGACATGCATCCCTGTCTGCTCTGTGAACCTTTCTGCATATATACAAACATGGATGGGTCAGATATCTATCGTCTTTGTTGCCCTTGCTGTGCTGAGCTGTGTGCGACATGATGATTTAAGTGCTTACGCTGTGTGTGAATGCCGTGAGGGTGGAAGGAACGGCGGCCTGTGTCTTCCTGCGGGCCTTGCGATTGCTTCCCATCCATTCCATCCCGTGAACACTCGTCGGTCTCAGTCTTGAGAAAGACGGTTGTTCGCAGTGCGGGTGGATTGGATGGTCAGTGCTTGCTTGGTCAGCAGGATGGGATGGTAGGTCCTCCACCTAGGTCCCTCCGAAAGCGTCCGTTGGGGGGCTTTGCCTTCGTCTTGAGGTATGTACCAGCCCCTTTGTCTGTCCACCGGCTGGCCAGGCCACCGATCGGTCCGCCCGATGACGTGGTACCAAGCAGCCCCGGACAGCCATCCATATCTCATGTACATAATATGTGACATACATACCTACCTACCTATATAGCTACATGCCTGTATGTACCCATTAATGGATTGCATCTGCGTGTATTTATTTTATTTGTCACCATCAGTGCATAGTGGGTGGGTGGGTGGGCGAGTGAGTCCATTTGACCGGCAGATGGATGGATGGATGGTTGGACGGATGGTTGGACGAATGGTTGGACGAATCGAGCAGCGGCAGATAGATGTGGTTAGCAGCACACATACCTTATGCATGTCGGACGGAGAATAGATAGAAGTAATCCATTCACATCAACATGTGGATGTCCGGCCATGCAATAAGTCGATCCACGCACCACGCACCACGTACGGAAACAACCACGAGACAGGGACATGGACGGATGCGTGAAGGCAGGCCTCGAGAGGGCCGCACGCACACAGTCCGCACACGCACACACACGCATGGATACACACACCCCGCAAGAGAGAGCTCAAAGGGCCGACAGATGCACGTGTGCTGTGCCGCTGGCTATGTGCCTGTGGTGTGGTGTGAACGGTCGCTTCACACCCATGTAAGTCAGTACATTCTCTGCCTTCCATCCACTGTTCAACATTGCATTGGCTGTTCTCTGGTGGAACTCTGGTGGATGGATGGACTATCCCCTGTCTCATTACGCCGTATGTGCTGATGGCAGCTAACGGGAAAACCGCTGCCATCTCCTAGGTAGGTAGGTAGGTGTGTGTCAGGCGAGGAAGCTATGCGAGTGGGTGAGTGGACGGGCTAGGGGGAATTGGCCAGCTAGGTGGGGCGGGCCGCTGTGCTCTCAGTGGACGGTGCACATCACAACACAAAGGAACGATGCTACCCCCAATCAATCACATGTACAGGAGGCAACCCAGCCAGACAGACAGGAAGGGCGAGCGAGAGAATGGCAAAGACGGCGAGTGAGCAGGCAGACGCACCCACCGCCCCCCTCCCCATATCTCTTTCCTCCGTCTTGAGTTCCCCTCTTGTCTCCCTATCAGATTCCGTTGTTGTATTTGGTGTTGGCGTGTTTGTTGTTGCACACCACGCTGGGGCCGCTGCCCTTGATCTTCTCCGCTTGCATCCACACGACACAAGAAAGTGCTAGGTGGACGGATAGATGTGTGCAGGAGGTGCACATATACGTACCAGCACCGATGCCATCTTTTCGGCCACCGGAGCCCTTGCCATGGGCAACTCGTGCTCACGCAGCGTCACACGCTGCAGCCGGGTGGCCTTTTTGTCGACGTTGGCGCTGGCAGAGGCAGCGGACGATGAGGGCTCATTGGCAAGAACATCCTGAGTGCGGCAGAGACATAGATAATATCCGTTACAATGCCATGTCATTGAGACTCCATCCAAGTTCGCTCTCACCTTGCCGTTGTTGCTGACGCCGCCCTTGTTCTCTTGTTCCTTGTCGCCCAATTCGGCTTGCCCGGCAGCTGCGGGAGCCGTCCACCTTCGATACTCTGCCTCCTTGTCGCGGGTGATCCAGTTGCCGCTTGCACTGCCGGTGCCGCTATTGATGCCGGTGCTGCTGCTGATGCTGTTGATGCTGGGCTGCTGCAGTGCTGCAGGGGCCGGCAATTGCTGTCCTCGCTTCCCCCGACGGGCTGCGCGACGAGCACCCCCAGTGCATGTGGGCCTCTGCTGCACCTCCTTGGGCTTGAATTCCTCTTCATTGATGGGGGGCGGGGGCGGCACCATGTCAGGGTGAGGAGCCTTATGAAAAATCCGAAGTGCATCAGGTGCAGGAAGGACTCGAACCGCATGATGACGAGAGCGGCAATCGCGACACGATCAGTGCAAAACGCGGATTCCGAAGTCGCTTGCAATTGGGTGCTGAAAGGGCTTGTATCCAAACGATGAACGCTTTTTGAGAGAGGGGCTCAAATTGCGAGCTCTCACACCACTGCCCCCAGACCGAACTGGGGCCGGAATCGGGCGTTTGGTCACCTGAAACCCGAATAGTTTGAGAGGCAACAACTTCACCGACTGCCTCCTGTCCCCTGATCCATTTCCCATCCCTTTTGAACACTCACTGCAACGGCCTCGAAGACAGGGCGATGCTGACTGGCGCATAGCGAGCGGATTTGGAGCCTCTCCCGCCCATCTGGAGGGAAGGAGCTCTTCCGCAGTCAGCTTGTGTGCCCTCACCGAGCCCCTCTGCAATGGAGCCACGGAGCGAGGGCCCGCCTTGTTCTTGCTCGGACGCGCCTCCCTCCCCCTCTCCCCCATCGCAATCGCGCCCGCCCCCGTTTTGCAGATCTTGCCGCAATGCAATGGCTGTTGTTTCCCTTACTGTTGTCTTCGTGGCGTCATGTGTGCCCATCGTGAGAGGGAGTGGTCACGCTGACCCATCCCTGCTGCCTCGTCTTTCCGCGGCAAAGGTGGCTTCCGCGACGGCACTTTCTTCTCGTCGAGCTTCCTCGACAACTATCGTCAGTGAGGCCCCAGAGAAGCCGCCTTGCAAGTGTTCGTCTCAGTCGTGTGACGAGGCCGTGGCGTCTTATGAGGAGCTTGACGCCCGGCCCGAGGACGACAGGACGGAGCCTGACGAGGAGGACACGACGCATATAGAGCGAATGACGGACTTTAAAGAGCCGGAGGTCAAGAGGAAGCTCTCGCTCAAGACCAACCCAAAGCAGCTCGGACCTAAGATGACTCAGTAAGACATTCTAGAGACAGCAGACAGTCCTTCATGGGTGCGATGCATCCATCGGTTGCTGCTCTGTGCATCTGCAGTGGCGGCGTGAACCCGCTCCCCACTCCTGAAGGCGTCGGCAACGCCATGACCAGCGCCTGCTCCTTCACCCTGGCCAACACCACCATATTCATGGCCTTCCGGCTCAAGACAGACAAGCCCCCCTCCCGCAGACAGACCCTGCTCTCCACCGAGGCCGGGCTGTCGATCATCCTGGAGCCGCTGGACCATTTCAAGAACCACAGCCGGTCTACGGCGGCCTCGACGCCGTTCGCCGAGGGTGTGACTGACGAGGGAGGTAAGGAGGTGGGTGAGGGCGGGGGCAACTCGGAGGACGTGGACATGCTGGGGATGAAAGTCGGGCTGGCCTGGGTGGGGGGCGACAAGACCATCCTCACACTCACCAAGGAGACCTGCAAGCACTTCCTGCAGCTGTGGGCATTCGTACTCAGAGTGAGGGCCGACGACGAGGGCAAGGAACTCGTCGAGGTCAGCCACCAACCCACCCACTTCACTTAACCGATATACACACATCCACCCTCTCACGTGTGTGCTTTTGGTGCAGTATGGTGTTTACAAGTTCAATCGTCGCCGCGACCAACTGCGGGAGGTGCATGACGCGGCCTTGGCGGCCATTCTGAAGAAGCCGGGGAGACTCACTTTCGGGTGCACCATCTACGGCACCGAGTGCCTCGACGGCGAGGTGTCATTTCTGCACATCCGCGAGAACGCCATGAAAGAGGAGAACATTATACAGTCACTCGACAGCTACAGATCTAGCCCACTCGGTAAGTCACATACAAAGCAAATGGATCATACTTTGTATGCCCGGTTGGTGTGTCTGTGTGTGTGTGTGTGCAGAGCTCCAGGGCTACTGTGGTGACGGGACTGTGCAGAGTGATCTTGAGGAGACCTGCGATTGGAAGGTAGACTCCGTCAACGAGTTTGGCAGTGCAACTTGCTCGTGCTCCTGCCTCAGTAACCAGCCCATCACCATCTACACACCGAGACACAGACACATCCATCCATTCACCACTGTCCTTGCTCCTTATCTCATTCATCAGAGAAGTGCCCCCAGCGGCCCCCCTTGCCTCAGGAGAAGCATCTGGCGATCAAAGCCGGTCACGACACCGGCCGTTCGTATGGCAGCTGGAGGGACATTGCGTGTGCCGAGGCCTACTCGCCCGCAGACCCTTGTCTGCCGCAGCAGCACATCAAGTGCCAGAGGGACGGCACGTGGGAGAACATCGCACTCAAATGCAAACGTACGTGAACTCCCCCCCCCCCCC